GGAATCTGGAAGCCATTCAGAGTTAAAGTGTAACTTCGTAACAGAAGATGATGTTAAAGAGTGGCTTCAAGAGTACTCTGAAGAAACAAACACTAACTGGATTATAAGAAATGGTATGTATAATCCTCAACGGCGATAATTTAGTATTGATTACAAATTAATTATACATGCGCACTAAAAATATTATTATTTTAGATTAGTATACATATCAAAAATATTTTGTGTGCTAGCATTCTGAGAGAAGTAAAAAGAACAATAAAACTTAAAATAATTCCAATAAACTAACATACTGTTCTGCCAGTATAGACATTAAAGTTAAAAAATGTAATACTAGCACAAAAAAGAACGACATTTTTTTGAAAAATTAAGTACCTTTACAAGGAGTTGTTAAAATGAAAATAATGTAAACAGTTGTGGATCACTTAAATTATTGCGATTAGATGACAAAACTAAGAGGCAATTTGAAAGCTACTTTGTAGATGGCTTAGGAATTAGTGAAAGTATAAAGCGACTTCAAAATACTTTACTTTTAAACACTTCCATTGATTTGCCAGAGATAGCAGGAAATTCCCGATTAAATCCCACGTACAATAAGGTAAAAAATATTTACAAGTATTGGCCGGAAGCAAATTATTATTATTGACATTATGGTGGGTTCCGCCGTTCTTATTGCGTACTTGACGTCGCAGGGACAGCCAATCACAGGAGCCTATTTTCGTTCTATTCTGTAACGCTGAGGAAAGTACAATACGCAAACGGGACGAAATAAAAAAGAAAAGCTCTCAATTCAAACGGTCAGCTCAATTACAACTTTCTAAGTTTTTACGAATACAATTTTCGAGCACCAACTCGCTGCAGATAGAGTTTTAATAATTCATTATTACAGAATCCATGGAGTTACGGAAGTGCCTGTGACGATATTTTATAGAACGAAGTTTCGTCTATTAATGCTCAAAATTTCAGCCTAAACGCGATTTTATTAAGGTTTCTGCGAATTTTTCATCACCCGAGTGCAATTTTTAAGCACCAACTCGCTGCAGACAGTTTCAATAATTTATCCCTGTAGCAGTGGCGGTGCCAGCTTTATTTTGCGCTTGGGTGAAAGCCGTCGGAAATTTTTTCAAGATGGGCAGGAGACATTTATACTTTCAATTGTAAAAGAGTTGGATATACTATCTGTTTCATAAAATATTTTTTCTTTTTTGGCCAAATATAATGTAAAATAGTTTTTAGTTATTTTTATTTAACATACAAGCGTTGCAAAGATTCATTTTTAGTAAGCACTTATGACAATATGTTTTTGTCAAACGAGCTGAACAGAGTTTGACAATACCTTGAGTGTCCTAATATGAATTTACAATACAAATATCATACGAGATTTTATCTACTTTCGTAGAATAACGAAATAAATGTAACAAAGATACCTATACTTCACAACTGTGAACATTTTTTTAAACGTTATTATGTTGGAAACAAATTCTGAATGAAATTCGCTACAACATTAGTATTGTATATAATAAAACTATTATAAACAAATCAATTTTTTGAATTGAATAATTTCTTTTACTTAACGAAAGTATATTTAAAATATTTATATTAACGAATAACATTATAAACAGTTAATAACGTAGTGAACTAATTCAATAATGAAATAGTTATTCACGCAGAACATTAGAAGAGGCATTGCTCTGTTATTATGCTTAGCGGCAAACGATCTAGCTCTAAATCTATTTTTGCAATTTCTTTTTCAACAAACAAAATGCCCATCCATAGTCATAGTTGTTCTTCAATAATTTTTAATTATCTTTAAAGTGCTGAAAGTTCTTTCAAAACATGCATGCCATTGGTAATTGTTAGCTAAAGAAATAAACGTTCTAAGTTAAAAAAAATGGTGGTAGATGGATTAAATGTATTAAATCATGTTTTTAAACCCAGCTTTTGTTTTTGCAGCTCTTTTCCAGTTCTTGTAGCCTTCAGTAACAAAACTTAAACTGCTGGTTCCACCTTGTTTGAAGGAAGAAAAAAGAAAAAGGAAAACGTAATACAGCATCTTTGAGAATGCTGTACTTAGTCCAAAGATACATGATATAATAACTGGACTTAAAAGTTCGAAGATCACAACCATACTGTTTTTTAGGAAAACTTGCTAAGACTAGCTGTCTTGAAAGTTCATATAGCGATTGAGCCATATCAATGACTTATTTTTCCTCTATATGAAAATATCTGGCTCTTGCCCTAGCAGGAAACAAGTACCCATATTTAGATTAGAGAATAATTTATTAATATTAAATACTTAAAAACTTACTTTTCAATTCCCGAACAACTCGGAATGTCTCACGTTTACTATCATTATTGTCGAAGTTGATCTGATTTTTTTTAAATCGCAATTATTTATATCGCTATTAAAAGTGATTGGGCGAGACAAATTTTGTTTCTCCTCACCCACCCCTAGGGCCCCCAATGTCCTGCAGAATGTTAAGCTGTCTATTAATGTTAAGAACTTCGGTTTAGTCGCGATTTGATTAAATTTTCTGCGGATTTTTTAACACTCCAGTGAATTTTTAGAGCACCAACTCGCTGCAGAGACAGTTTCAATAATTTATTCCTGCAGAATCGATGAGGTAAGGAAAGTGTCTGTTACTGTATTCTATAGAACGCACAAATTCGCATACTTTTCTGCGAGTTTTAAAATATCGAATTGCCATTATTGAGCAACAACCCGCTGCAGACAGCGTTTCACTCAAAGATTCCGGCAGAAACATTTAAGTTAAGAAAGTGTCTATAACGGCATTATATAGAACGTACTTTCTTCTATTAATGCCGGAAAGTTTAGCTCAGTTGCAACTTTTTCGCACTTCTGGCCAATTTTTCAATATCGGAGTGCAATTTTCAAACTCGTTCAGACAGCGTTGCAGAAGCCGTTGACCTAAGAAAGTAGCAATGACGACATTTCAGTTCAATTTTTCTTGAAAATCGTTCGAAAAACGAATCGGAAAAATGTTGTCGAAATCAAGTTATGTATTCCGTCGCTCTTGATGATGCCACCAAAGAAGGCTTGATAAAATATAGTTGGCCGGAATGTGGTCATTCGGTTAACCAACTATTTGACAAAATATCGGTCTGTAAACGCTCAGAATTTCGCGAATAATTTGAGGAATAATGGGTAGAAAATGGAGGATGGCGCCCCAGCTTGCATTAAACGGGTAAGCTTTCTTATCTATAAATGCTTTAGTTTGAACTGAGTTTAGTTTTTCGAAACGCAACTGAAGTTTTATAGATTTTTTTGCTGACTTTCTGCTCTACTAAACACATTTTCTTTTTTTTTCAGGTGGTACAATGCAGTTTCTTCGGTAAGTTTGGCATTACTTTTCCTCTGGTTGCCATATAGATGTAGACCTTTTAGTCCCATATTTTTGACTTAATTAAGTATCTTATGATATTGTTGCCTTTGATATTTATTCGACGTGGAACGTGGAGGGAGTTTCTGGATTCTGTATTGGGTTTTTTCAAAATTTTTGTTTTGCTTTTTGGAAATTTAACTTAGTCAGACTTTGGGCATTAATTGGACGTTTTCTAGGGCAGACTGTTTTCATATAAATTTTTAGTTTGATTGCTACGTAAATGTCGTTTTCCTGTGAACTGCTCATTTAGTCTCGTGTACGGTATTTTGTATCAATTATAGGCGTTTTTCTGTTATTAATTACACTCGAAACTGAACGGTTTTTGAATTCTCAATGCGGGTTGCTCAGATTTACAAAATTCAACTTTTCTTGCTCCGTTTTCCTACATTAAATGGTCGGGTTTCTGTCACGTAAAATAAGGGTGTTCTGCTGCGAACCCACTTTTAATTATCGTTGAATCGTGTCAATTATTAGTATTTTCGTGCTGTAAATTTAATTTTTTTCCTGCTTTTAAAGTTAATAATACCCCAGAATCCAGACTAAAGTGAATTTTATTTATTATTTTCTGCTGGTCTAGCGAAAAGCGCCTTAAAAGGTTGCAAATGGTACTGGCCTTCCATTTAGATTTCGCGCTGTTTTTACAACTTTTACACTATAAATAATTTATTTCAAGACTATTCAGAGTTCTTCTAAATTTGAGTAACTAAATTGCGTCGAGTTTTTTGAGAAAAAATTGGGTTTTAGGGAATCTCAGCAACTGGATCCGGACGGAATTTTATTTTGTAGAAGGAGATGGCAACCAGGGTTATAGTTTTTCTTTGATACAATTCATGCTGCTTGCTTGTGCAGATTTACGAATTTTATGGAGTGACTTTCCGTTTCATTTATAGCGGATTTTTATAGCGGTTAGCGGTAGTTTCCTTATTTTCGCATTTCCTATTTTAGTCCGCCTATTTAGAAACAGAAAGTTCCCGAAGCGCTCTATCAAAAAGATTTTAGTGAAGGTTTTTATTTTTTTAATGGATTTTTATATGTAAGTGTAAAACTTCAAGCGCACTTAAAAAACTAGAAGAAAGAAAAGAAGCACGCCACCGAAAATGTTTGAAAGATTACTTCAATATTTTTAACCGTTTTCCCGACAGAACTTCTGAAACTTTGAGACCTCGTTAACGTTTGATTCTTTCTCTTCTAGCCTTTTTAAGATTACGAATTTCGTATAAATTCCATACGCATATAAATACGCTTTTAAACTTCGCCGATTATATCGGAAATTCACACTGTTTTGTCTATTAGTTTCCTTGCTATTATTAGCAAATATTTTAGCAATTATTGTTTCTGTCTCTTTAGAGGTTAGAAATTAATGATCCAACTAGCTATGGAGAAACAGTTCACGAAACGATCTATCGAATTATTGGATATCGGTTTCTGAGGTAGAAGCTTTTAAATGTTGAGGCCGTTATGTGAGGCCATTTTATAGAAGGAATTTCTGCCTTCTGCTGCTGAATATAGCACAATTTTCTGAGTTTTTTAATTTTTCAGTATCATCTCTGCAGCGGCTACTGCAAAGCACATGTTTGAACTTAGAAATGCGTATAAAACTGCAACTGTTGGGCAATAATCAATTATATTTCCAATCGTTCTTACACTATACACTGAAACAACTGCAATTCACAATAAAAAATGGATACTTCTACACGATAAGAGAACTGATTCAGTTTGGCTGCAAATAATAATTTAGGCAATTGGCAAATAAAGGCTGATACTCCTACTAGGAAATAAATATTTATTCTTATTCGCTGACTTTCACATTGACAAATAGGCGCAAGTTTACACCCAAGATTGCGAACAGCTCGACAGAATAAAACGGACACGTGACACCAAATTTTCATTTGCAGTTAGAAATTTAACACTCGATAGATTCTCTTATAACTAAAAGAGTGTCTCAATAAATAACATATTATTTTTAAACAGACAACAACGATTACGATAACGTTCTTATTAACATTTAATGCGATACGATTAGATCGCAGGAGACGCGTGCACATACAGGTAATCGCCATTATGATATATATGTGTATATAAGACACTTATACTTACCACATTACAAAAAAAATTAAAAAGATAAGGTAGTAAGAACTAGGATCAGCATATTTGTTATTTTACCATAATTCAGTGTCAGGACAAGGAATCGCTTTTTTCTGTTTAGCTAAATGATGTTCTTTCGCTTCTTTTGATGGTAACCAAATGGAAATTTATGTACACGCTCTTACGATGTTTGGTGGCTGTAACAAGTATGCTGTCGGAATTTTATATTAGATATTTAAGAAATTTAGTATCAAAATATTTCAACATTTCATTTGCTACCTAGGTAATTAAAATATATTTAAGTCTTGGAACACACATTTTGTTTTCGTGCTTCTTGCTCCTCTTTATCTAGTAATTTATCAATAACATCGAACACATACAGATTATATTACAGTTATGTATAAATACAAGAACCCTTAATATTACACAATTTATTCTGTTCAGGGCCCTCTGCCCTTATTAAACGATATTTTAGGAAATAAGGTCCGCTGTAACCTGCTGTATATCTTAGATTCATATACACAGTTTTTTTATTTATACTTTGACGATAATAATTGATGATTGGTTAATGAATGAGATTTTCCTTTATATTATGGTTATAATATTTATACCTCATTTGGCACTTTTAGATTTTTGCTTGCCAGAGCGACTTTAGATGGAAATACTTTACTTTTTGCATGCAGCACTGCAGCATCTACTACTACTTCAAATCACTCAAGCTGCTTGATATCGAGTTCTTGAGTCTTACTCACTTCCTTAATTGCAGTTTTTTCATTATTAGAAACTATCAAAAATCTAAACGGTCGAAAATGAGGCACGGGGCAATAAATAGAGCAAAAACACAGGGTGTTTCACGCAAATGCTGTGTTTTTGAGATACTGAGTGGTAGCAAATCTATTGAAAAAGTTATATCACAATTTTAAATAAATCATTTCTGTTATAGTAACCATACTAGTAGGTTTTGTTGCTGAAACACCCTGCATATATGCTAGATAATCATTGAGACTCCAGAAGCTTTTCCTAAATAAAACAAAACTTTTCGATATCGGTCAATTTTCCAGACGATCACATGAAACAGCCCCTTAACTTACGGGGGGTGGAAATAATAAAAATTGTGCGTTTTGACGAGATTTTTTTCTGTTAACTTTTCGAAAACATCCATAATTGTAACAAAAATTGAAAATTGATAATTTGTTTCCAGGTAATAGCGGTTATTAACCTTATTAGCAATGAATTAAAACATTGATTATTAATTATGTTTCCCCAATATGTGAAAGTCAAGTGAAAACTAGCCAAAGTTGGAACAATATCCAAACGAAGTGAGGAAACAAATCGTGCATAGAATGGTTTGAAATGTGCTTGAACAAGAGGAAACTAGTAACTCAGGTACAATTAATATCACAATATTTTTTCAATATCTATTGGGAAAACACATCGCTTATGATTGTCTCTTATTCTAAGTGCTGCAGTCGAATGACTCCCATTCAGAGAAACGAGAGTCCTGCTTCTGCAGCCTTTGAGTGCACTCTTTTATGTAGGAATCCTGTATTCTGTACATGCCGGAGTTGGCTTGGTACATTAGAGTTTCCAGTATTCTTTCGTTCTTTATCGCCTTTGATGGCAGCACAACCTAACAATAGAAATAAGTGCTTTTTATGTCTGAAATTGATCAGTTTGCCTTGTTGCATTCGATGAAAATGCCAATTAAAATGCACATTTCCCAAGAGTAAACTTTGCCATCAATCCATGGTTATTTAAATTAGCGACAATCGAATTTCCATTACCTTAATGAGTTCCTGAGGCGAAATTCTGTACAGTTTCAAGTCCCGAGCCAGCCGTTCCATAATGCACTTAAATTCTATCTTGGCATCCAATTTGCTAGACGTTTTTGTGCGGATTTTATGCCGCGCCCATGCAAGCATTGCTTCGAATTTTCTTATTTCCGGTATTTCTAGATTTCTATTAAAATATTGTCACTATTAGTCATTTTATAGTGAAATAAATGGGAACAATGAGAAGAATATGTTTGAATTAATGCAAAATATGGTTTTTGCTCTTTGAACAGTGTCAAAGAAAAAAAGATGTTAATGGAAACCAATTCAGTTATGGAAGAACACAAAGATAAAATGTAGCCGCTCTTTGCCCTTTAACGAAGATCAGTAATATTTCAAGAAAAACATGATGACAATGTGAAGGAAGAGCACACTAATAAATACTATTAAAGTCTCTACAAGTGAAAAAATAGCTGAAAACATAGCAAAGAAACAAGAGGAGCCAGTCGAAGAAACTTTCTTTTATACGGTATCAAGGCAAAAACATTCATAACGAAATTAACTATAAAAAGTTGAAAGCAAAAACGTTCAGTTTAATTGATTGATCAATGGCGTGTGTAATTGATGAGCTATTGGACATTTTTTCAAAGTTTTTGTTTTTTCCGTATTTATTCACACCCGAGTGCAATTTTTGAGCAACAAGTCGTGATAGACTGAGTTTGAGTAATTAATTTCTGCGGAAGCGATCGAGTCAAGAAAATTCCTGCAACTGAATTTTATAAAACGAACCTTTGCCTACTAAAGACGTAAACTTCAGTTCAATCACGACTTTGTCTGATTTTTTACGAATTTTTCAATGCCCTAGTGTAATTTTCGAGCAGCAATTTGTAGCAGACAGTTTCCATAATTTATACCTGCAGAAGAGGCCGAGCTCAAAATGTGTTCATTGTGGCTTCTCATCGAACGTTTTTTGCTTGCTACTAATGGTGTGTAAAGTTCAGCTCAATTGTAACTTTTCCTGAGACTTTACAAATTTTTTAACATATGAGAGCAATTTTCGCGCGACGACCACTATGTAAACTAAGTTTCATTAATTTATTTCTGCGGAACAAATCCTGTTAGGAAACTTTCTTTGGGAGCATTTTATAGCACGCACTTGATTATGCTATCGCTGTAAAGCAATGTTCAATCGCATAGTTTTTTGAGTTTTTTTGAACTTAGTATTATTTCACGAGTATTATTTCCTAGTGTCACTTTCAAGACAAAAGAACGATGCAAACTAAGTTCAAATAATTCATTTCTGTGGAATGAGTCTAGCTAGAAAATTTTATTTCAAGGGTTTTATAAAACGCACTTTACTCTGCTATCGCTGTAAATTAGAGTTCAATCTCAACATTTTGTGAGCTTGTACGATTTTTTTATTATTCAGGTACAACTTCGAGCGACAGTCATGGGGCAACCAAAGTTTCAATAATTTATTTCTGCGAAAGAACGCCCTTTAGTCTAGAGCTGCTCTTAAGTTTATCTCAATTGCAACTTTTTCTGAATTTTTGCGAATTTTTTAAGATCCGAGTGCAATTTTCGAGCTTCACTCGTGACCGAGTTTTAATAATATTGTCGTTATTAGTTTTTGGAAATAAATGAACGAGAACAATAGAACACATGAGAACGGAGAAGGAGTTGTTCCGCTCTTTAAACAGTGTAAAAGCTCAGCCAATTCAGAGAATAATAAAGGAGATAAAAGAAGAAAAAGAGCGGACCGTAAAAACTGGTAATAACTTGAAATAAAAAAGATACACTGAAAATAATAAAAAAAAACAGGAAAAGGCGATATCGAAGAATGTGTCCTTTAAACTGTGACAAGGAATATTCACGCAAAAGTTGATGACAGTGAAAACCCATTCAGTAACGTAATTAACTTTGAAAAGGTGAAACGCAGAAAAAACGAATAAAACAGCGAGAGTTTTGGTAGTGTGGCTTCACCCAATAAAGCAAATTCAAACAAAGGCAGAAAGTAAAAACAAAGAAGGAAAAAAGACAGAATAGAAGATTTTTTTGGCGAGAACAGATACTAAAGTTACTAGAAATCATACAAAGGATGCTGTAAATACAAAATACAAGTAACAAAGTCAGAGAACATTCAAAGGAAAATTAACGCCGGTGAAACAATTAAAGGTTGTAAGAAAAAGCAGATAAAAACAATGGGAAAGCTATTGAAAGACTAAAATAAACCAAAGTGAAACTTTCTATGCGAATAACCAAACGTTGACATTTCTGCTACAGGTTCAAAGAAAATAGGCCGAAAAGACGACACAATAAAGTAGGAAACAAACATGTTTCACATGAAAATATATCCAGAAAATTTGCACAGAACTTCCAGCATTCTCAATTACCTGCTTATAATCATCTGCACCATGGATTCGCTCAGATTGAGAAAATCGGGAATCTGGAACAGAGCGTAAGCTCTGGTCTCCACAAAAGCCAAAATCATGTTAACAAGTTCTGATGCCGATGTGTATCTCCAGTAGTAGTTTTCCAGAGAAGACAACATGCAGCAAACCTTGAAGGAATAAGGACTAAGACTCCAAGCAGAAAAACATGGGAAAATCGGCTTTCTTACCACTTCAATTCTGAGGAACTGCTTGGCATGATGGAAGCAGGCCTGCAGCAGATCGGGCAGATCGTAATGTTCTGCAGCACAAATCAGTCCAGGTATTGTTGAACATGTCAATGGACAAGACCCTGRAAGAGTAACAGGTAAARGATRTTGCAAGTGAATGAGCTGAGTGAGTGAACAAAGCTTGAATTTTGATTGAATAGAACATGAAACTCCTCACCTGTATGAAGATAATCGAGTAAAATYCKGAAAGTTTCGGAATCGAACTCAATGATGATGAACTCAGTCTGAGCCAGTTTGGCCCTGTCGACCTTCTGAACATCTGCGCAGACACTGAGCTTGGGCATCGGAAACTGCGTGGGGCCTTTCTCCTTCCCCTCTTTATCCTTGGTGTCTTTGTCTAGGGAAAACGCCCAATATTAGTCTCAGCTGCGACTTTGGACCTATGAAGACTCACTGGAGCAATCCTGGCTGCTTGCCCATTTCTTCTTATCATCTGCAGACAATTGCTGAGCGTTGTGCTTTCGTATCGATCTGCCCCATCCAGCTGTGATGGTTCCCAGGCGAGTAAACGCCCTTTTCACCATTGGGGAACTGGGCACGCTCTTCGGCCTGGGACTTTCCATGTCGGGAACTTGCAGGAAATTGCTGGACTTTGGCCTGGATTGCTGCGGACTGTGTAGCAGAGTGGGAGCGGGCCGTGCCAGAATTTCCGCCACTGGTACCTGAGGCGAACCAAACCTGCAACCGATTGGTTCTTAAAGTGCCTGGAGGTTGGAGGGTTGCACCAGTGCCCACCCTGTCTGGATCCCATAGAGCATTTCCTGGAACACCCGGCTGCGGACCCCTAGAATGGCTCGCACTCCCACCAGCTTCGTTTTCGGCTTACTTTGGCCGACCATGAAGGAAACGTCGAAGAGATGGGCGTTTGATTTTTCGTTAATGTCTGCAAAGAATCAGTTAGAATGCGAATGTGCGCGAAAAGGAAAAACGCACCGGAATTGATGAAGAACTTGGTGAAATCTTTTGCGATTTGGTCATAATCCTCAAACTGGTCGCGAACGCTATCCAGAAGCGGGGAGGATGGACGCATGTGGCCAATTGGTCTCCAGGAGCCTGGAAAGCACGACAGTTTTATTACAATCTCAGTTCAGTTCAAGCTTGCCTCAGTTTAAAAGATGACGATTTCGAAGGTACAAAATAAATAGATTTATTTTCGATAAATGTTTTCTTTCAAGACTGGCCTATTGGAGGTGAACAACCTGCTTTCATTTGAAGTATAAAGTGTGAGACACGCCACCTGCGGTTATTTGCACACGGTGAAAACGAGATAATATTTTTTGGCCCCTCTATATGGTGCTTTTAAACATTCTCTGGTATTCCTCAATATTGTTGGCTCAAAAAGTGTACGTGACAAGAATTTATTTGAGCAGCCTTTTTTGAGATATCTGGGTTTAAACAGTTAATTTCTTGGTTAATCAAAGTTAGCTAAAAATCAGGTACTTTTAGTTAGTTTGGGGTAGTTTGTGTCGGTTGCAATTTTCTATTGAAGAAAGTGAATGCTTTTTCCAAATGCTCAAAACTCCCCTCGTTTTATTGTCCATTTAGTTCATTTGTGTTCGGGTGGGTTTATTTGGGTTGCTTTCAGTTAGTTTGGGTTTGTTTGCATTTGCTTGTGTGCGTGTTGGTGAGTGAAAAGTAAGTATTGCAAGCCTAGACATTTAATCAACTGCTGGCCTTAACTCGTAAAGTGTAGCGTAAAAAGTAAGGTAAAGACGAGGGAGAATCGAAATTGAAGTTCAAATTAAAGTAGAACCTGGCTTAAAAAGTTATTTTGCTTCAACTTTGCGTTGAGTTCTAAAGACGGCGCTCTAGAATTTGCAGTTTTTGGGGGCCTGATGTTGCGCTATTTGAGAAATTCTGAAAAAGATGTTTTTTTTCCAAAATATGAGTTCTGTTTTAAGAGTAGTTTACTTTTGAACAGCCCGCTGTTCTTTAGACAATTACGACATGTTTTTCATTAAATTTTGTAATTTAATTAATAAATTACAAACGTGAATATTCATTGAAACATTATATTGCTGTCATTTTGCCCTACAACACTTATATTAATTGGACTGGTACAGTGGCGGCGCAAAAATTTACCGCCGCCCTTCGCCGAAGCAAGTTTTAACCCATTGGTTAATGAGTTATAACTCATGGCCGGTGGCGGAATTTTAACATCTAGCAAAAAAAAGCCATCAACATTTGCGCATATGAAACCACAAACAACAGTAAAACGGGAAAATCCGGAGATTTTAAAGACACTTAAAAAAAATTCAGAGCTATGAGGATGACGAGTTTTCCAAATATTGATTATATGCTTTTGCTTTCTCTGGTCGTTTTTTGAGAGAACCTAAAATTTGTCGAAAAAAAACAAGATAACTTTGTTTCGATTTGGTCCCAAATTCAAAGTTAAAACGGGTATTCTAAAAAGACGATAAAGAAGACCAAACTGTAAAGACGACGACTTTTCTTGTAGAATCCATCTTTTAACTTTTTTGTATAAAATACTTTCAGATTGCCAGTATTTTACAGTAACACGTTAGAAAAAACGCGCTGTTCTGCTTAGAAAGAGTTTTGGTTAGAAATATTGATCTAAAAGTGAAGAAATCAGAATTTATATACATTTTTTTTCAAGATAATCTTAGTTACTTTCGGTAAAAAACTGATTAAAATTATTTGGGTATTGGGCCAAATTCGTAAAGTTTCCTGCAAACCGATGAATGAGGCGAATTTTCTAGCAAAATTAATTTTGTAATTTTTCGCTGAAAAGACCCCATTTTTGTCAGAAAAGAAGAAAATAATTAGAAAATTATGTTTTTTGTGTTTTTTATTAAAAACTTTTAGTTTTGTGATCGGTTTTTGAGAAAATCTTAATGACTTTCGCGAAAAAACGGGAGAAATTTATTTTCGTGTTGATCCCGAATTTGAAGCTGAGAAAGATTTTGTAAGATTCCTACAAAGCTGTAGATTTATCTTGTAATTTTTCGCGTAAAGTACCTCCCGATCGTCAGTATTTTCAAGTGAAACTCTAAAAAATAGAGCGTTTTAGAGTGGAAAGTAAAGCAAAAAAAAACTAGTTAAAACTAAAAAAAGCATATTTTTTTAACAAGCTCTGCAGTCTTCAGAGGAATAAAGGTGACGAGTTTTCCAAACAATTTATTATCAACTTTCGCTGATTCTGTTCGTTTTTTGATAGAAAAYTATTTGGTTTGTTTTATTATATTTGGTACCATTGTTGACTGTACTGTACGTACTTTATGTTGTAGTATTTTATTTTGTTTTTTTACTCGTTTTGTCCATAAAATTTATGAATTTTTCCGTGGCAATAAAGCATATTTTGATTTGGTTTGATTTGATTCTTCTCTCAAATTCGAAGCTGGACAGGTGTTTTGATACTTTTTACAATGGGATGAAGGAGGCGATTAGTCTAATAATATTTATTTCATAATTTTTGCGGTCAGTATTTTTAAGGAAAACTAGAAAATAATGCGTGTTTTACGTGTGAGAGAATTGCTTAGAAAACTTTGCTAAAACTGGAATGACCTGAAATTTTATAGAAACTTTAAGAATCTTTAGAGCGATGAGAGGGCGAATTTTCCTAATTATTTTTTGTAAACTGTTGCTCTCTGGTCGTTTTTTAAAGATAATCTTAATTTTTGGTGGATAATCTTTGGTTTTTGTGTCAAATTCAAGGGTCAGTCAAAGGGTTTTCTGAAGTTCCCTGCAAACCAATGAATCAGGCGAATTTTCTAGCAAAACAAATTTTATAATTTTTGGCTACGAAGACCCCATTATTGTTAGAAACGAAGAAAATAATCAGAAAATTATATTTTTTACGTTTTTGAATTAAAACTTTTTGTTTTGTGATCGGGTTTTTGCGAAACTCTTAATAGTTTTCGGGGAAAAGTCTTGTAAAATTCCTACAAAGCTATAAATATCTTGTAATTTTTCGCGTAAAACACATCCAGATCGTCAGTATTTTTAAGTAAAACTCTACAGAATAGAGCGTTTTTGAGTAGAAAGCAAAGCAAAAAAAATCAGTCAAAACTAGAGAACCAATTTTTTTAACAAACTCTACAGTTTTCAGTGGAATGAAAGTGACGAGGTTTCCAAATAATTTATTATAAACTTTCGCTTATTCAGTTCGTTTTTTGATAGAAAATTATTTGATTTTAGTTCGAAATTCGAAGCTGGAAAAGGATTTCAAAACTGGCGAGTGTTTTAATAAAATGTATTTCATAATTTTTCGCGAAAAATACCTTAAGATTGTCAGTATTTTTAAGTAAATCTTCAGGAAATTGAGCATTTAGAAAAAAGAGTAACTTTGCTAACACTGGAAAATTCTGAAATTTTGAAGAAATGTTAAAATATTATTAATAAATGGCCCTTAAAATAGATCTAAAAACTCTTGATCTTTGAGAATGCTGTACTTAATCCAAGCATACATTATATGTACTTGAAAGTACAAAGATCACAACCATACTGTTTTTTTGGAAAACTTGCTAAGACCGGCTGTCATTAAAGATCATGTAGCCATTGAGCCAAATCAATGACTTCTTTTTCCGCTATATGAAAATATTTGGCTCTTATCCTAGCAGGAAACAAGTACCCATATTTAGATGAGAAAATAATTTATTAATATTAAGTACTTAAAAATGTACTTTCAATTCCCGAACAACTCGGAATGTGTTTACGTTCACTATCATTACTGTCGAATTTGATCTGATTTTTTTAATTCGCAATTATTTATATCGCTATTCAAAGTTGTTGGGCTATTCAAAGTTTTGAATGCCTCGCCCACCCCTAGCAACGCCACTGGACTGGTAGTTTAATACTTAACAGACACGCCAAGTGCAATATGCAAACGACCTCATTTGTATTCATTTCGTTATTGCGATTTCATTTTTAAATTTTTTGTTTGTTTTAAATATAACTCTTTTTTCCTGACTGGGTTCAAAAGTGAAAAATCCATCGAATAAATGTTGCAGGAAATGGATAATGCAGGCGCCTTTATGTGTCGCCTGCATAAAATAGAGCCATAAAACCGAGTTTTCAATCTGGTAAATTTTCAAACACCTGCTAAATTTTGCATTTGTTCAGCTTACCTCTCCTGTATGGTTTCGGTATCTGACCGGTTTCCGCGTGATTCTGTAGATTGGCCACGATGTCTTCCAGCATTTGGGAGCGTGTTCGTTCTTGCATTCGGGCAAATTTGGGAGCTGAATAGCTGGCTCTTTCACCGTTGACGATTTTCGTCAGCAACCATTCCCTAAACATCGGCCCTTTATCGAACAGGCTCTGCTCCCATAAATAGGGCTTGTACGCGCCAACTTCATCCCTTGTTACCACCGATACTTCGTATCGAGTGGGTTTTCGTTTGATTCGAGGCGATGTCCGAACTGAAACAAGTCTCATATCGAATCGCTTCCTTATGGGGAGAGATGCAACTTACCTAAAATGAAGGTATGCAGAAAATGGCTTTTGATACAGGCGGGCGAGAATGAGGTGTTGTCGGCCTCAAGAAAGACCACACAAACAATATCGTTGCCAATATGGCGTTTTCTTTGCAACTTTTGAGGATCGTGGCTCTCATATGGCAGCAGAGTGCTCACATGGAACATTATTTCAATGTTTCTCCAATTTGTGTAAATGGAATATAACCCTGGAACCGTTCAAACAATATTACAGGCAATATTAGCTAAGGTTTTTTGAAGAAGGTTTAAGGAGGAGGTTACATTTGAAGCAAAAAATATCGATAAACATAGCGAGGGAATGCTTTGTTTGCAAAATACTGGCCCAAAAATTGGACGCTTCAGTCTTTTTGACTCCATCTTTTGATTTCTGCAATCGTTGAGTATTTTACAAAAAACCTCCCTAGGAAGAACTTCATTAACAAAACATTGCACCTCATTACCAACAGTTTTAAGCTTCCTAAATGGCGCTTTTCTTAAAAATGCTAAAACCATCTCATATCCTACTCAGTATGTTCGAATTATCAAGTATTTTTTTGCAATATTGTTCTTTTTTTTAAAATGACTTTTTCTTTTTTTTCCGGTGAGGTTTGGTAAATGAATCAGAGTTCACTTGCACTAATGTAATCCAGTGATCATCACCGTTTAGTCAATAAAACACCCAAAAGCTGTGTTTCGACTGAATAAAAGTTGCTTTTTGCCACCGTTAAAAGCATTTGAAGAACCTTCTTTTGACTGCTTACCTGTTAAATCGTGTACAGTGTCCAGGCCACCTTTATAGCGATCGAAGCCCCTCAATCTGACCTTTTCGCCTAATACCTGCAGGAATTCTTCGAATAACATGGAGTTATCATTATTGTCAAGGATTTCCTCTTCAGAATATTGGCCCTCTTTCACGTAGATCACGCCGACTTTTAACTCGGATTTGATGAATACCTGAAACACCATCCCAACGTTCCAAGATACATTTCGGTGCTAATGAAAATTCCGCACCTGATCTAATTTGAGAAGTTCCTCGGGAGTATCTGGCAGCTGGCCTAGAGTTAATGCCGGACAGATGTTCACCTCATTCCCCAAAGAACGGACAACTTCTTCTCTGTTATACCTGTCCGCAAACACGCAGCTGGCTGGAATCAGACCGTGCACCGTATAACTGATCGCTCTCACCAATATCCTGAAAAATAGAACTTCCATTTGGTTTTTTGCCTCAATTCGATACAGAGGCCATTTGGCACGAACCAATAAATTCCAATTTGGCAGGAAATTGTTCGGTAAACTCTCGATTCCCAATGTATTCAACGATATTTGTACAATTTTTATCTGCACTCTATGGCTTTGAGGAAAAACATGTTGATGAGGCAAAATAATTGAGAGGTTTTCGCGCTTCTAGGTTGCAGTGGAAAATATTTGCATTGAGACTTGCATCTTCAGAGTTGGTTTTTGGCAATAGCAAGATAATGATGAAGCAAAATCCTCTCTCGGACTTGCGAAGCGTCTCGAAATAATTATTTTCCACTGCGGCCTCAAAACCCGAAAAAATCATCAGTTTGTAATGAAAACCGCAAACTTAATAAAAATTTCCTAGTCGTGTCAGGCACTTTGCGATACCTTCGAAAACATTGTCACGCTATATTTAGAATGTTTTCAATATTTTCCCAAGATCGAATCGTTTCTATTCGACACTCGTCCAACTAAATCTTGGCTTAAAGGCCGAATCGATAGACAATTTCCGAGTAAGGTGCATGGAAAATATTTCCTCTTATTTAAGTGTCTTTATACTGTCGACTCAGGCGACAAGACACTGATGAAAGCCACATTTTTATTCCATTCTCATCCTTTAATTCCACGAATAAACCCGTGAAATTCGGCAAGTTTCCCTTTTGAACAAGAGAATTAAAGCATTGATCGGCCAGTTTTCAGGCAATATTTCAAATTTGCATTCAAAAGCCCCAAGTTTCCGGAAGCAGGATGTTTAAAAGTTCCACCGCAAATTAAAATACGGTTATACTTTTCAAATTTTCACCCCCATCATATAAACAATGATTTATGGCTGCATTATGAAAGTGCTTCCAGCACCTAAACCCACCAGGAAATAGAGAAAAATTCTCGTTTTTATATGGAAGAAATTTCACTTGCCTGCCTCGAGTTGAATGAGTTATTGGAAGCAGAAAACAATTTTGAAAGAACGTTGTTATCGTTAGGCGGAAAACCCAATTGGGATTCTATCGTATTCCCAGCTGGGATTGAGTTACCCCAATCAAACCCAACGTTCTCTCAAATCATTAGTTTTTTTTATATATAACAAGGCTTTTATTGCTCGTAACATTTCAATCCTGGACCAATCAACTAACGGAGTTTTGCTAGCTAATCCATTAAAAGCGATTTAATCTCTGGATCGCAAGAATTTTTCTCAATTTATGCATTATAACTTACCTAAACTGGTCTCTGTTATTCAAAGTCTCCTGCTTGATTGAGAGAATAATGGGGCCCAAATCCTCATCGCTGGTAAAGTAGTTCCAATGCTCCGTTCCATAGAAGTACTTTTCGTAGGTCTCCTGCTCCACACTAGTGAGTTCAAAGCCCTGATTCTTCTCCCACTGCTCTTCGATGGTGGTTTTCTTCCTTGGCAAGGAGTTATCGTCGTCCTCATCGTCTTCATACAGATCGTTGCAGCCTGGAAGAGAACCAGGTAAAGCTATTTCCAATGGAAAACTTCCTCCATCCTCACTTCGGTCCCTTCGTCGCAAGTCATGGCCATTTTCCTGGTCGGTTCCATCAGGAGTATCTTCGTTTCCTTCTTGTATTTCATTGTCATGATCCGATTCGCTTTCGTCCCATATTGTGTCGGTGGTGATTTTCTGTCTGGAGCACTCGATCCAGTAGCCGGGGGTGGGAATAAAGTTGTGGGGGAATTCTTCGCAAAATTCGTCTGAAATTCACGCACAATTAGCAGCGAAATGACGAATACATTACGCAAATGTCGCCGCATCTTAATGGCGGATGGAAATGCGAGCAAAAGCTCTCACTGGATGTTTGATTAATGATCATTTTCGAAGAGGATTCGATTTAATTAGGTGGATGGATGTTGTGGTGTAAAGTCCGCTCACTGTAAGGCAGAACACCAAACGAGCTAAAACAGCTTGGTGTTCAAACTTAGAGTGACCCAACTATACACACTTTCGTTTCTTCTTGAAGGTGCTTCATTGTAGCTGCTAATTTGGATTCTTCGGCTTCTTTTCTTTCATGCATTGCAAATTTTCTCGCATAATAATGTATTGATTTTGTATTGTTTAGCGGATAATCCAACAATATTTATTAAGTGTTTCTATTGACAGGCGAGTAGATAATAAAGTGGCGCGATATAAACGACCATAAATAATCCTAATTAAAAATATCCATTTATAGAATCAGATATTGGTGTCAGATGTATGCAAATGTAGACAACACAAGCTCGTTTACAGCCATTTATTCTCTTATCGCTAGATGGTATCGCGCTTAACAATTGAGCGCTGTATGCAGCAATGTATTTATGCACTTTTGGCGTGTATTTAATTTGAATGTATGCTCTTACGTCTTCAGAATATTCTAATTCAAGTAAATGGTTGGTTCTGCGTTTCAGTCTGCCAACAATGCACAGATGAATGAACAATTTGCGTATAAAAATTATTCCTAAGTTACCCGAAAAAGGAAGGAAAAATGCTACTCGTATAATATACAGGTTGTGGTATGTAAAGTACAGCATATAATGCAAATTTTCATTAAACATTGCAACATTGCGAAGGTGAAACTATTACAGATCAACCGAGGCGTTGCAAATAAATTAAGTTTCAAATTTGTCCTGTATTTTTTATSACTCCGTATGTTTTCATTTAATATCAAGCAAATTTCGCAAAATGTTTGAAATTCTATTGTGCTCTTTTAGTGGATAAATTATAGAAAACTATGAGTCAAAAAAATTTAAAAATTAACAAAAGTTGATAGCTCGTCCTAGCTAAATACTATTCTAAATTCTAAATACTAATTCTAGCTTTAACCCCCAATATCTTCCTTATAAAAGGAATTTTTGCATCAATTTCCTCAGAAGGAAGCGATGATTGCGACGAGCTTCCTAAGCCAGGCACGATAATCTTCAGATCCGAAATAATTGACATTTTTTGTCCATTTTCAGCAGGTTTTGAGCCGTCGCGTTTTTTAACCGCCAAGATTAAAGACGCAAAAAACGTATATTTCATATCACACAGTGAGGCATCGAATAGGCATTGCCGACTTCCGGCATTCACATTGACTTTTCTAGGCTTGTCGAGGGTTAAGAATTAAAGACAGTTTTCGATCGAAAATTTTTAAAATTGTAATTTATTATAATTTAATTGGGTATGAATGCCAGGATTTTAAAATTTAAAACTGCGGTTCCTAAAAGGCAAATCTATTCAATTTTCTGGGTTGGATTTTTCAATTTCACGTTCACCTTTCCAGGCTTTAAGATCGTTAAGAATTAAAACCAGATTTCAATGGGAGATTTTTAAAATTGAAAATTTTCATAATTTAATAGAGTATGATTGCTACGTTTTTAAAATTTTAAAGCGCGGTTCCTAAAAGGCAAATGTTTTTAATTTTATCGGTTGGATTTGACAATTTCACCTTAACCTTTCTAGGCTTGATGAGAGTTAACAATTAAAGCCAGTAATCAATCGAACATTTTTGAAAATTTTAATTTTTCATAACTTAATAGGGCATGATTGCTACGTTTTTTCAAATTTTAAACCGGGGTTCCTAAAAGGCAAATGTATTCAGTTTCCTCGGTTGTATTTTAGAATTTCCCCTACATTTTTCTAGTAGATGATGGTTAAGACTTAAAGCCAGTTTTCAATCGGAAATGTATAGGGTATGATTGCAAGGTTTTTAAATTTTAAACCGCGTTTACGAAAAGGCAAATGTATTCAATTTTCTCGGTTCCATTGCAAGGTTTTTAAAATTTAAAACTGCGGTTCCTAAAGAGCAAATATATTCAATTTTCTCCGTTGGGCCGGATTCTCTCGGAGTGCCATAAGTCGAAAACGGTCCAATGAGCAAGGCACACTTGTAAAATTTTGACTCTTAATCGATATTTTCATAAGGCTGGGGGTCGATTTTCTAAAAAAATCTCAATTCCTTCAAAAGAGTTAAAATTTTACATCAATTTCATCTGAAAGAAGAAAAAAGTGTAACGAGCTTTTTAAGCAAAGCGCTGGAATCTTCAATTCCGAAATAATCGGCATGTTCTCTCCAATTTGAAGAGTTTTCGAGCGGTTGCGATCTTTAACCGTCAATCCTTTCCTTATTATAGGCGCAAAAACGTTTTATTTGAAATTTTGTTAACTTTATTTAGCGTATGGCACTGGCAACTCTGCTCTGGAAACTAATAAGTACAAAGAATATTTTCTCAAAAAAACTCAAGTCTCTCAATTGCTCCGAAATATACACCAAATTAATCATGAGCAAGCGAATAATACAACGAATTTCTTAAACAAAATCCGAAAATTTTTCTGGAGCTTAAATTGGACAAACTTTGCCATTTGAACTTGTCAACATTGTCAACTTGCCACAATTATCCCTAAAAGACGAATTAAACAGAATTAATTTTGAAAGGAGAAATGCTTACCAGAACACGCTTGCGGTGGTAAAGGAAAAATCAAAGTGGTGCTGCTCTTTCTGCGAGCGACAGCACAGCCGAGACTCTGAGGCTTGAAGCTTCTAAGTTGCTGCATAAAGTCGCTGCACTCCATCAGAGCCACGTCGGCAAAGTGCAGATCGCACAGGATCTGATTCTTGAACCGTCTGGCTCGTTTCTGATTGGGCCCAGTTAGGTTGAGGCCGCACGAATTGCACCGTAAACATTCTTCGTGATAGTGATTGTTCTCATATAAGGGGGTTGGCTCTGCAACAAACAAGGGAAGCAACTGTAAAAGCCACTAATCCAGCCATCAATCTTCTAAAAAATTAATTAATACGAAATATATTGGATTTCATTTCTTTCACAAAGGGATTCGTGACCCAATTCGGTAAATTCTTGCTTTTTTCGACGATTCCCTCTAGTCGCTCGTAAATATTTGCTACCTTAAAATTAAGCTCGCTTACAGGTTTGTTAAATGCCTTTTAGGAGCTGGGTAAACAGGTTTTTCAAGCTGATCCATTAAATTTTACCTAAGCAATTTCCTCACTAATTACATGGTTTTATTGTTACAAAACCGCATGGAATAAATAAATAAGCTCTGTATAATCGAATGAAAAATCGAAATAAAGTGACCCAATTCCTCTCACTCGTTTTCCTCGTCATGACAGTTTAATTTGAACCAGCCAATTGCTGCACACCTGAATTATCGGATATTTGTTCAGGAAATTCGAATTTATCATTATTAATTCAGCTGGGTAATTGCGACGGGGAAAGAGTGTGTGTGTGAAAATAGCAGAAATGCTAACAATTTTATTTATGGATCTGAGAGACTTTGGAGGGAGTCTCCATTTAAATGGATTTTTATCGCAATAGGTATTCGTTGATTAAACAGATAACCATTGATGTTGCCTATGTAGACGATTCATTAAACCAACGTTTGTGTGGGTTTCTACGGTTGATGCAATTCTTTAGTTCTCTCGCAATTTTATGCACGTTTTGCGAATAAAATCGTCCAATTTAATCATGCTGTCACATTTTCTCCATTTCCATAAAAGTGCCGTTTGCCGGCAATTTTTTTTGTTGCTGTTGTGCTAAATAAAAGTTTTATGAAGTGTCATGAAGCAGCGGCGAAGGCGAACATTTTGCCCACATTCTGACCTAAGCCATCCGAACGAAAAGTATTCCGCTTTATTACCAAAACGGAAATGAAAGACTTTGGTATATATTCATAAAAGGAAAATTATTCGCCCGGCTTATGAACTGAGATCTGCTGATTGAAGTGCTAGAATTTTAGTAAACTAGAGAAAGTAATAAAGTATTGTACATTTTTGGCAAATGCCGAAATTATTACTTTTTGCATTTCGAAATCTAGTTTTACATTTAGAAACTAAATGAACTGACACGATTTATAAAAAAAAATGTTCGTTTAACAATTGATAGAATGTCTAACATTTCAATCACCTTTCCTCTCTTTTAACCATCAAAGTGTTCGGCTATCCACATAAACCTACCATTATTATGTCATAATGTGTCAAAGCACCAGCAGATGACCATCTTTAGGAATAATGGAGAAAATATGATCGAAAAAATCGAGCGTAAAATACCATATTAAGACATTCTTAAGCTAATGGTCATATTTACGTCCGGGTCTTGATATTTCGGAATTTCCATCGTCTCTACTAAAGCACCACATAATTTTATTTGGGTCAAAGTCGTTTCGCCTATGTAATGTATCTAATGACCAGTGCGACCCATTAATAATACTGCTAATACTATTCGTGTTTTTTCCAGAAGCGTGTTTTTCAAGAATAAAGGTTTTTTTGGGTCGATCTGTTTCTAGTTTTTCCTGCCAATATGTATGATTAAAAAACAAGCAAATTTGAAGGAAAAAGTTAAGCAAATTGAAAAAGAGCAATTTTTCATAACTTATGAATGTATGACGGACATTTTATTTTAAACTTGTACTTAGTAGAAAGCGCTTCAATTCCCTGAACGCTTCTGAGAGACACCCGATTCTCAAATCGGGTGTCAGTCGGGACCGATATCTCGAAAACTGATGCTCTGGAAGGTTTATCTCAAGACATATTTTTTGTTCTCTATTAATCCAGACTTCAACAAAATTAAACACTCCATCGATAAAAGTGGTGGCAAAAGAAAAAATTAGAGCCAGTTGACTATATACTAGCCTTTAGAGATTGCGTTGATTCTGACCTCAATTGATATACAAACCTCAAGCGCAGATATGTAGAAAACTGTTGCTCTGATGTTTTCATCAATATAATTTTTTTGTTCCCCATTAATCCGGATTCCAGATAATTTCAGAGAATAGTGATATCTTGGGCGGCCAACAAGTTAGAGCCACTTGAATTCTTAGTAAGCTTAAGAAAATGGTTTGATTGTCTGAACGCAACTCATGGACACGAGATGCAAACGCCGATATCTTGAAAACTTTTGCTCTGAGCAATTTTGCCCAAGACACCGTTTTTTTTCGCCATTTATCCAGCACCAAACGCAACTAAACACAAAGTCGATATGCATGGGACAAAAAAGTTACTGCCGCTTAATCTTCCAACAGAAAACTATTTTATTTTTTTGCTTTTCCAATTTAAGTTGAGTTTGATGAATTTTCATATCCATTGATTTATTCATTATGAAGACAAACCGCAACACTTTTCGCGATTCGACGTTGTAAAATCCTGCACTGTGATGGACGTGAAACCGTTTGCCTGCACATAAAATGTGAAATAGAACCTAAACTTTACCTTGGCTTTCTTGAAAGGCCGACTACATTAACCTGATTCCCCTAGATTTCCTATCCAGCTTACCTATATTGCTTTTTCCAGACTCGACATGGAGAGTCATTTATACCGTGACCTACTATTAGATGTATTCTTGTTATCAGGAATTAGCTTTAGGTTTTACTTGCAAGATGGTTGATTTTCTTGGGAATTATCAATTATCATTATAATCAACCATCTTGCAATTATTCGATATCGGTCAAGAAACTGAACTTATTTAGGTTTTACCCCCGTTCTCATGAAGTGCCAAACACTCATTAAGTTATCAGCACTCCAGTCAAACTTAAGCAGCAGAAATCGACGAGTTTTTCTCCTAATCCGGTTTAGAGTTGCTGAGTGTAAACAAACAGGTCGATAAAGTTTCTTTCGACAATTTTCCTTGACAAATTCGATACTATCTGAATGAAAGTTGTATGAAACCCATAATAATGCTTCGATTTGGGAGTCGGCTGTCTTAATTAAACGACCGCAAGTTGGATGGATTCCAAACACTTGTTGCGAGGAAAATTTAGATCGCGGTTTTCTGGATAAATGTGGAATTGGACAAAGAACAGTTAATTGGTAACTAAATTTAGAGCTCTCGCAAAACGCTCAATGGGACTTTTCTGGCTTCATGCATTCAATTTTACTTATTTTTTCTTATCCTGTAGATCTAAAGGATAAAACCTCTTGAAACTTTGGTTTAGTTAGGCTAAATGTGTATTTTTGGGAAGGTTTGTGTGGCACTTAATTACACTCAATTGACTATTTATTGTTTTGATTTTTACTGGTGTTTAGCTACATTAAGTGTCAAGTCAGTGCTCGAGTGCGGAATTAAAACGAGGAAAAAACAGAAACTTCCTTACAAAACTTATTATTTATTATCTTAATTGCAAAAGTTTCAATCGCTATTTACTTGTTGAATCGGGAAGTGATTAAAGCACGAAAGCGAACGTTCAAACAAGCGAAAAAGCGCCCAAACAAGGAGATAATGGACAAATTAACACAGCTATAAATAATTCGCTTAAACTACAAGTTGTTAATTATTTGCTCTGATTTAGGGCTACTAGTCTGGGTTTCTCCCTGGCGCCCAATAGCTTGGATCAATAGGAGTGTGGAAATATGCCGCGTTGGTTCACTCAGATTGTTTTATTACTAACCACCTTTGTTGTGGAACGTTAAAGGCAACAAGTGTTTCAATTTCCGACAGTAAAAATAAACGTTCAATTATGTCGATAAATGTGGACGTTTTAGGCTAAAATTTGACCCAGTCGTGTGTGGATGGTTCTTTGCTTATCCGTTATTTAGAGTGTTTATATTTTATGGTTTTTATTGAGTTTTGAGACATATTTCCGTAAAGGATCACTTTTGGTTACAGTTTGCAAGTTGACAAAAAGTGAGCATAGAACATGTTGCAAACGCAATGGCTTTATTCGAAACTAAGTTAAAAATTTTAATTAATTACATTAACTTCGCTAAATTGAGTTAACGGAAAACCGAATAAAAATATACTGTAATTAAGAGTTCACATATACACAAAATTTAATTTGTAGATAACGGAGGTCTTTTTTGAAAATCCGGCGCAATTTTAAAGGGATTGTCTAACTCAACAGATTCTACCAAGTTACAAATCACCGAAAAACAAAATCAGATTAATCTGAACACTCAGAAATAGAAAATAGTTGTGTTGTTGTTTTCGTAGTTGTAAAAATATTCTTAATTTAGGAATGTATGATACACATTTGATTTCCTTGGGAAAATTGGTTAATTCATTTTGATGGCGAAATACTGATTTGTGTAGTGGAATTACGAGAGATTGTGTGTAAAAAACATTTATGTGTTTACAAGAAATAAATCTTTTTCAATCAAGAAATCAATTTCAAAACAAAAACAGCTTTCCTAAGAATTAGGGCAATTTGTGCAAAATCAATTTAATCGCAGGCAAATTTCACCTGCAACCAGGAAAATAATTATTTTCATAATCCCAAAATTTCATTATGCTTCAAAGTGTGAGACACATTGGACGTAAAAAGGCTGGGGTTAAATGATGCTTTTTAATCAAATGCAGTGCAAAATCAACGCTAATGTTCACAACAAACAGAAATATTACTAATTTTTCACAATTTATAAACGTATGATTTACCGTTCGGTTTAACAGACTTAATATTTAATTGGGATTTTACTGAGTTTTACGATCAACGGCTTAAATTTGCCATTAAAAAGAACTGAAATTTCTTGGCTGACGCCAGGTGTAAATAGAGGAAACATCAATTATTTCCTAACCTGAAAAGGCAGCAACATCAATTATTCATCGCAACGCACGAGCACTCTACAGACAAAGAGAAATTAATGAAAAAAAATGAGATGCAAGGGAACAAACTAAAATGGGAAATACCTTGTGAGGGACCGGTAAGAGACACCGGTTCATTCTGGTTGATAGAAGAAATCTTGACAAGAGACGAAAGTAAGCGGAAAAGAAGAAACTAGGGTCATTCACAAAGACACAATCGAGTGGTGTTCAGTTGGTTGATTTGTTGGTGATTTTTTTCAGTGTGGTGAAGCACGTAAACACTGGATGGCATGCACAATCCTTATCAGCTGTTCGGCAAGCGATAACGCGTTCTTCCACGCCGAGAATCGCACTGACAGAAAGAGGACCAAGTAGAGTAGTAGAGGCGGCAAACGGCGTAGAACCCCACCCCCGTAGGATCGATTGCCGACTTTACCTCCCAAAATTCACTGATGAGAAAGACGTTTGGTTACCAGTTTATCATCATTCATTCCGGCATGCTGAGCTGAAGGATTAATGACCCCGACGAAACATACACAACTCAACATTTCCGCCAACAAATTGCTGTTCAGGTCTAGAAGAAACAAAAAAGAACAAAATCCACACTCCTCTTCAGTTGATGCTGTTGGAAAAATGCACCTGCTCTCTATTTGCAGTGGATCTGATGTAATTTACTTAAGCAAGCAGACTGAAGACGAGTTATACAAATAGGCGAAATCCTATTTCCTTAGAGAAAATAAAGCCCGAGTAATACTTCTACAGCTCTCGCCCCTTTTCTGACGATGATAAATCGGTTCGCCCAAGAGCTGTTGTAATATAAAATCATAAATTTTGCTCGAAAATCCGTAAACATTTATTCAAACATTTTTCCTTGCAAATATTTGCCTAATGTACGTCTTTATACTTTGGCCTCTGTTCCTCGGCGAAATGCCGCGGAACTAAGTGGCGTTCGTCCAGATATTTCGTATTATTTCTTTAACAGCCTGTTTGTGTTGAATTTGTTGAATTTGAACTGTTTGTGTTGAATGTTACTCTAATGACACTTCAATTACGGCTTATTTGTTCAAGCTCTCTGATTTTTTAATTAGTTTTTACAGTTTTTCCCATTGAAAGCACGCTTTTATAAGATATTGGAGAACTGGAGGTTTGTGGCATTTTGAAGAAGAGTTTTAAACAGCGAAAGTAGAAAATGTTGTTACTGCAAAAACTGAATGAATGGAGATAATGGGGGAAGTTCCTTTGATGAAGAATGTCTAATGCAACTACGATAGGAAGGAATTTTTAACTAACGAACGAAGACAACGACTTGAAATCTTCAAAAAGCTTTAGTTTAAAAATATCTTATGAGGCTAAAGAAAAAATGTGTTTGAAGATCTGCAAAACTGAAGACTCCTTTCATTTTGAAGCAGACTTTAAAATTTTGGCACTAAACACTGAAGAATCATTAATTTAAACAACGAAAGTAGAAAATGTTGTTACTGTAAAATCTGAATGAATGGAGATAATGGGGGAAGTTCCTTTGATGAAAAATTTCTAATCCAACTACGATAGGAAAGTACTTTTAACTAAGGAACAAAGTCAATGAATTGAAATCTTCAAAAAACGTTAGTTTAAAAATATCTTATAAGGCCAAAGAAAAATGTGTTTGAAGATCTGCAAAACTGAAGATTCCTTTCATTTTGAAGCAAACTTTCAAATTTTGACACTAAACCTGAAGAATCATTAATAAAATTGAAGAAATTAAAATGGAGTGACGAACATAATGAAGAAACTTCAGAAGAATCTAATGTAACGACGCCAGGGAGATTTCTTGAATAAATGCCAAAATGAGGGTATCAACATTTAAATAGAATACTGGTTATATAAAATATTGTGAATTGTCCAACTTATGACCCTCTTAAAACCATTAGAGAATAATCTTAAAATCTATTAAAAATCATCTTAAAATTGCCCATGGAGATCAAAGCAGTGTTAAGGAAACCGCAACCGACCAAGATGCTGAAGAAAATCCTCATAATTAACAGCTTAAATTGAATCAAGCGGAAAAAGACACTTCAATTCATTATCAAAGTCTGGGACAAAAAATCTAAGAAAATTGCTTGTTTAAGGCTTGCAACTTAGGAAGTCAACGGCAAGACAGTTTACAAAGAAACTTGAAAAAATATGACTGCAGAATTGGTTCATTGTGAAGATTAAGGCAAAGCTGTAGAATCCTCATCTGAGGAAAATAATAAAAAAAATTAAAAGCAGCGAAGGGACGAAGTATTTTAATTTGTCAAAGTTATTCCGCACAAAAAAAATATTTGTTATGTACGATATTTTCACATTTTCAGCTTATAAAACCAAATTAGCTGGAGGAGTGATAACTGAAGATTTTTACCATTTTCAAGAAAATTTCTAAACATCTAAACTAACGGAAAAAATCGTCAACAAATTAATTTATTTATGAAAATCAACAGGGCAGAATTGAAGAAATATCAGTCACGGAAAATAGTGAAGAAATCTTCGAACACGTAAACAAGCAAAGATATTTTCTCCTTCTTGTGAACAAGAACGAAGACCAGAAAATGGGAAGGTTAAAAAAAATATTTAACCATCAGTACCGAATTTAAACAAAAAGTAAACCAAGATTAATTTTTTAAAAGATTTAATCGTGATCAGTAGAATGAAAGAATATTTTGCAGTAAGTAAAGCTAAACTGGAAAAGATTAGTTTTCTCTCTAAAGTTCCAAGTACCAAAAGAATCTAGCAGCCAAAAATTGAACATTTTTTAATACGGACAAAAAGCAATGTGAAGGCAAGACGCAGAAGAGAGAACAAAGCGACAAAGAAGAAGGTATGTGGAAATAATGAATATCTAGTGTTTAATACACACGAAGAGAAAAACTCAGGCAATTCTTTAACTTGTGGAATTCCAAACTATTCTACTGTTGAACCAATTGTTTCCTTATTTTGTCATCTAAAGCATCAAATTTTGCTATTTGCGAAGCTTCAGCTTCCGTTAAGCTCGAAACTGAAGCAGAAAATAAGATCAGGCTGTTATCCAAATAATGTCATGAAGTTTCAAATGAAGAATCAAGAACAAGCAAAAGCACAGGGAAAGAGTAAGTTGCAGTCCTTCAGTTCTTCCCAGTATTATTTGTTAAATTTCCCTGTAAACCCTCGATTGATTCCCACTGCCCAAATCCGAACTTTTACGCCTAAGTGCCGGTGCACACGAGTGTTTATTAAAACGTTAAAAAGAACCGTTAAAAAACGCTCGTGTGCACCGGCACTAAATGGGACAAGAAGAACACAAAAAAGTGCCAGGTAAATACGTACAAGACAAAACAACATGGGACTGTACTGGGATACCTCTCACCTGTTTGTGTACTTGAATCGAAAAACGTACTGCTAGTTTCCACGGTCATGGTGGTCACCGTCCCATCGAGAATCTGAGCCGAAGAATCCCGCCGCCCTTTGTATCTAGAAGAAGGAAAATCGGCAATTAAAAGCACCATTTTCTGCTACTTTTAGATGCACAACCTTTGGCATTCGTCGCTCTGCGAGGACTGTCTGCGGAAGTTCCGGCAGCGGATCATCTCTTCAGTGGTTGATTGTCGTCGGAAGCCTCGAGCAATCAGAATTTCCTCGGTGGTGGATTGACGCCTAATTGCTGGCCGATAATTTTCGGAAGTTGGGGGCGGACCGCCTCTGGCACTCGGGCTGGGGTCGCGAGAGGAGCAGCTTGAACTATCCGGCGATCTGAAATCACATTGGAAATGGTACTATGAAAATTTTAGTAAAGAGTGTTGAGTTTAGTTTGAATTTCAATGAATTGGAAGCTTTGCGAACTGCAAAAACGCCCTTAATCTCAATTAAGTTCTACATTAATGGCAATGGGCAAGTGGAAGGTCTAAGAGTATTTCCTGGTTTTTTGCCAATTGCCATTTACTTTTAAAGGCATTTTGTTATTATTTGGACAATTTTCTCGCGTTGTGGCCTGCATTCGCCTCCACTTAGTGTCTCATTGATTTCCGCATCCACATTTTTCCATGGTGAGCTTTTGCCGAATCGATTTTCCTTATTCCCCGGCCAGACTGCAGATGGCAGCTTTTTCCCTGCTATGGATTTTCCGAATGCTCTTGACGTGGAAATGGGAAAATCGATGTTGAGCAACAGATTATTTTCACTACGTGAGCCTCCAGGTGATCAGAAATCAACTATTGAGGATTTGAAAGATGCAAACATGGATAGATCAGAGAAGCAAAAGAGACAAAAAAGGTTAGGTAGAAGAATGAAGAAAAATTGAATCGAATATGTAACAACAAAACACCTAACAGATGTTGCACTGACAGACGAAAATTATATAAGGAAGGCACAGAAAATGGGGCGAAAATCAAGTCAAGTTGACCAATTACAAGGAGTTCATTAGCGTTAAAGAAGTTGCCGATCTATTCAGAGTAGCAAAAATGCCATTCTGGCCACTGAAGTGAAATAGTAGGTTTTATCTTTAGACAACACACAAAAAACTAATAAGGAAAATATACAAGAAAAAGGTTTTAATAAGAAAAAATGAATTGACATCAAAATGCATGTACCTATGATTATGTCTTCCTGCCACACTTGTTGATTGTCTTCTTAGTTTATTTCTGCGACTGCGACGCACTGGACTTATATCGCGTTCACCAGATCTGAAAAATATTCAGCATGATCAATTTTTTAAAGTCACCTTCGTCACGCCAAATTAAAGTGTAAACCGTCTGTTGTTTTGCAACTTAGTTCAGGCCCAGTCGAGATATTTGCCGGATTTTTCGGTACAACCAACTTTGTGACTCCAGAAACTTCTGGAAGAAAAAGGTCTCCCGAACTCGATGCATTTCCAATAAAAACATTAGAATTTATTGGATTTGTTGTGTCACAACTTTGAAGACCAGGGGAGTTTAATGTATTTGTTGTCCCCTATCCGAACGGCAAGAGATTCAGAGGTCGAAAGCGCATTCTTTTAAAGGAGATTTATTTTTTTATTACAAAATTTCTAATCCAGATATTTGTTTTGATTTGTTGCCAGAACCAACTTTGTGACTTCAGAAACTTAAAAAAGTTTGTCCCAAAAACAAAAACTCCTATTTTTTAGGGCATTTTTACTGGGATTTTATAACCGTTCTTACCTATCAGGACTTAAGTGGGACCTGGAGTCCCTGCGACCTCTCGATGCAGAATCGGGACTCAAAGAGTCTCTTCTCGCTTTTCGTCCCGAATCGTCGATATCAGGACTGAGAGCTGTCGGTTGAGAACCTCGGCGATTCATGCCTGGCGGCAAACTTTCGTCAAAAGCGGTATTTTGTCTTTGAAGCCTGGAGCTGCGACGCTCCGGGCTGGCATGCGACCTAAAAAACCAGCACAGTTAACTCAATTTACCACTCGTAATTCAATATTAAATTCCTCCCCATTTAGAGGCCCCAAACAACAACATACATAATTGCCTTGTTAGAGAAACTTCGAAAACCGCATTATGGAATTTGAATAGTCAAATAAAGCCGAAAACCAGATATGTTGCCCATTAAAATTTCCTCTGGTTAGATGAAATTAATCCGCTGGGGAACGGGAAGGCGCTGGTTTAAACTGTTTCCAATTTACAAATCATCGTTACTCACCTAGAGTCTCGGCGGCCTATTCGGCCACATTGAGTGGTAGAGTCCCTCCTGGTGGAAAGAAGAGGATGAGTAGGAGTGGTGGCTGTTGTAGCTGGAACTGTTGGAGACGTAGCTGGCGGAGTGACGCTGGAAGTGATTATAGTTGGGCAAGGAAGACCAGCCTGGTTGGACTGAGAAGCTGAGTCAGTGGAAGATGTAGCTGTGGCAGGCGCAGTGCTGGAAACCATCAACTTAGCAATTTAACACCCTGCTTTGCGTAGAACAGTCCAAAGGACCCCACCTGATCTGCAACAGTCCTGCGGAAGTTCCAGAATCGGAAGCAGTGGAAGAAGTGGAAGGTCGCTGCTCTTGTCGGTAGTAAATCGGAGTATCCACTTTCCCTCTGGAGTCGCGACGTTTTCTGGTCGCCCCCACGATCTTCGGCGGCGGAGGCAACAGGATGATTGTGGTGGAATCCCTACGGCCTGCAAGTTATTTCCAGAAATATATGCGTCAGCCTCACGCCCCGTTACTTTCAGTTTGGTTAATTAAATTCGGATTAATGGACAATGAATTATTTAGTGTACTTATTAATTCATTTAGGCAAAATACGAAGCGACTTATGAATTAATCATCGAATGTGCGGGCGGTGGACGCTATTTGTATGACTTGGCATGTAATAAAAATGTTTTAATGCTTTTCGTTTTTCCATTTCTCGGGTAGATTTTTTCTTTTTTCACTTTTTTCATCAGGTTTTTAGGGCATTCAAACGGTTACAGCAGAAGCTGGCGAAACATCAGGATCCTTCCAAAACAGAGCCAAATCAGGGTTTGAACTTAAGGCTATTTAGACGTTTTCTGTAACGTTAGCTTAGGCGAAAGGATTGAACTTTCCAGTCGAGTCTTGGAGACATTCAAGTGCAGCCGTTTGAACTTCAAAACAACAAAATATTTGCAATTTACACAAACCACTTGACAGTATGAATGCTTAAAACGTTGAGCAAATATTTATTTTTCTTTTTTATTCTCATACTTTTCACTGTACTGATCGTCTCTTTTTTCACATTTCACCGAAAAAACTTGAAAGTCCAGTTTTGACTGCAAAAGCGGAAGCTTCAGGGTATCTGTGGATTAAATTTGCTTCAATTCAAGTTATTGGTTTCGATGGTTTTTGAAACGTTTGAGTGTTTTGCGGAGTATATTGTTATTTACATTGCTATTTTCTGAGGCCATTTCTAAGCAACTGGTTAAGCGGTCTTAAAGCGGGCTTCAACGTTCAATAGTAGAGACTTCGTGTTATTTATAGTTTGAGCTCGATTTCATTCAAGAGGCTGCTACCCACAGAATGCATTTTTAAACTGTATAGTTTTTTTGCGCGGTTTTTTCATTTTTCAATTTTCTGCTTCTTTCAGCTTCTGAACGATTAGTGCAAATTTCGGAAACCTGTTTTTTGCGTTTCAGACGGGAGCTTTCGTTTAATACGTCGCACTGTGGGGTATTGTCAATAAAAACCTGATGAATGACAAGTCGCCACAATACTTGTTTACGCTGTGTTATCAAGAATTTGTTTATCTGGATCATTTGGCTATAATTTTACCTCAAAGATACGATTTAGAGAAAATCTTTAATCAATTCGGAATTTGTATTTGTAAATTCATTATTTACATTTGAAATTGTGTCCTATTTAGTGGAAAACTGGGCCCCGTTTTAATATGGATGAGCAAGCTGGAGGGGTGTATTTTAACATATTATATTGATTCTAAAAAACCGATCTTTAGAAGTCATAGTATTTGAAATTTAAAGTAAGAGTGTTCAAAAATAATGTAAGAAACATAAAGTATAACTTAAACAGAGGGGTATAATTTACTATTTTCCTGAATTCAATAAAGTTTCTGTATACTTAGTCCACAGTAAATATCCACCTTTTTGATGGTTGTAGCATTGGCTGCAACTTTTTGCAACTTTTTGCCAAAATTTAAAAAACTGCTCCAGTGATGTCCCTGCAGAACTGAAATCCGTCAACTATATTTCGGGCGATTTAAAAAAGACGCGGCAATATTTAAGGGTGTGATTCTTAGGTCTATGAATAAAAAAGTTCCCATACACGTAGATCCAGAAGTGCATAGTTTCCATGATATAGGGTGTTAAAATTTCAGTTCTGTTTTCGTTTTTTTTCTTAAAATGCTCTAAATAATGTCAATATGTTTTTGAAATTTGGTATTTAGAGGTTTTCGATATTATAAATTTATCATTTATAGTAATTTAGCTCTAAGTCGTAGGAGGTGCCATCAACACAACTTTTCAAAAGTAAACATTCAGCTTTTTGTGCTGAAAGCCTGGCTGCTACTTTTTGCTTGTCGTTTGCTAAAATTAAATAAACTGGTCCAGTGTATGAATATTTTACAAATAAGTCATACTTTGTCTCTATTTATTTCTTTCTCCATATTCTAGAGTAGATACGAACACTGGCATTCTAAATAATTTATTAATTTCTTAGTCTTAGATTAAGATACAAAATTTAGGAAACTTTCTACAGAAGTTCCAATCTCCGAATGAACCAATTTTAGATAATTTAGATAATCTTAGCAATTCAGAATCAGACGCATCTACCTCAGACTCCTTAGATTTTCTCAAATTTCTATTAATTGTACGTTTATGTTATTATTGCTCATGTTTAGTTAATTCGCATTTCTTTTCATATTCATAGCTTACTGAAGCAAATTTTTGTTATTCATGATAGAGCATCGCTTATAAATTTAACATTTTGATACATTTCAGATAAAAAATATATACCTCTTATTTTATTACGTGCTTATTGTATCTAATAATTATTTTTGGCATACGAAAGTGTCAAAAAGTCGTTTTCAAAAATTTAATCAACTATAACAGCCTCCGTTTATTAACCAAATTAATGTTAATAAATTTATGTGCAAATAAATTCTCATTTTTATTCCAAACTAAAATTTAAGGGTTTCAACAATTGTATTTCTCTTGGTGGCCTTCACCTTCACCTTCTTTGTTTGCCTTCTTCGTTATTGAAATACCGATAGCAGCATTAAAGTGATGTTAGAAATGTAAGGTTTCAAAATTTACCTCTCTAAAAGCTTTGTATGCAAGTCAAAGGTCCCATAGCAGCTAAATATCTCAGAATTTATTGCGTGAAAACTTTTGAAATTTAATGGCAAAGTTGCTAGGTCTACAGTTTTTTTCTTAGAGCTTGAAACAATCTACCTTAAATGAAAAGAATAATGCTTTTATTTAGTTTTTAAAATGCAGGCAATTTAAACATTCAACGAAAACATATTCGTTTCATTTAAAAAATGAACGTTTCAGCCTTTGGGAGGAAGACTATCAACTTGTCATTCGTGCACATAATTATTAGATCAAGTATACTTAAAAATTCCGGCGTAAAAAATTGCAAAATATTGCATGCAATCCTCTCTGAAATAATTGCTCTTCCGGAATTTTTGACTAACCCTGTATAATACTACATTTAACTGTTTATCTTTCAAAATATTAATATGTTACGTATTATATAATCCGCACTTAATTTAAAACGTTTTTAAGAAAAATCTGATTAAAAACCAATTTTTATCAGAACTTAATATCAAATACCCCATAATAGCTTCTGACTGACTGTCTTTCGTCCATCTCCGTGGTAGTTATCGCTCCCAAACGGACATATGATCCGCTTGCTCATCACTTTATGGGAATAGGTAGTCAGATATCTCATGAGTCAAGGTGTCGGAATAAGTGTTTCTATACTCCATAAAGATTCATAGATTAGATTTCGTTGTATTCAAGATACTGAAACATCTAGAAATCATTTCTAAAATTTGCAGTGCTGCTTTGTGATTTTTTATTTTTTCCATATCTCCTTCTGAGTTCAGTTTCTGTGCATGCAGTTGGAATACTCAAATGCTGATTTCAACACTGAATAACAGAAGCTTCGTATTATCTGTGTCTGGAATTTCGCTTCATGGAAATCTTGGTTGCCATCATAAGGAATTTTGAAACTTTCGAGTTTTTCACAGCATTTTTTCTTTTCTACGTCACCTCCTTCTAAACTGATTTTCTAAGCAACTAGAGAAGTTATCGAAACACGGCATTTAATATTCAATAGCAAATACTTCAAGTTAGATGCTGGTTAAATTTGGTTTGATTCCTGGACCTGGTACCATCAGACTTAATTTTTCAAACTTAAGTCTTTTTTGCTCGGTTTTTACCAACTGGATAACGGAAGGCTCACTTTACGTGCGCCATTCAAGGCTCTGGTTCCATCATGGCGAATATTGGAACCTTGACCTGTTCTGCGCGATTTTTAATTTTTAAATTATCCTCTTCTGAAGCCGGTTTCTGAGCCATCATTTGGGTTACAGTGATCGATTAACATTGTCTCATTTTACATGCGGTTTAAGTTTACTTTTATTCAAGGTGCTGGCACCATTGGAATAAATTTTAAAACTTTTTGCAATTAAAATTTTCCAAACAGTTTAGCGCAAAATAGTTTCGGAAAGAAAAAACATCCACAACTTTCCTCTAAACGCAATGAAACTCCAAATTCCCAACCCTGTTTCTCGTTTATTAATGCAGTAGACGTTTTACTTTGTTAAGCAGGCTGCTTTATATGGGCCCAACTTTCCGCCAAACAGGGCTTGAAAGTTTCGAATGTTGCCGCAACAATTTGGAAAGCAACACGGGAATTAACTAAAATTATGACGCGTATGATGTCCAGTCATGTCAGGGCGTTTTTCTCCTTCGGATTGCGGTGAAACGCCGACAATGGACCGGAAAACCTTTCCAAGGGGATTTTCAGCATTATTTAGTGCGAAAATGTGAAAAGGGTTGAATTTAATCGAGGGATATTGTCAAGTGAAAACGAGCTAAACTAGCACACAATGTTACAAAGGGAATTTTTTTCATTCAAAAATCTATGTGAAAAACACGATTAAAAGCAATTTTTGCAAAACAAAAATTGATTTATTTCTGTTAAAGTTTCATTTTTTTAAGATTAGCTGAACTCGTCACGCTTATTCTGTTCATCCATGTGAGACGGAGTTCCTTTTTGCCAAACAAAAAAGGCTGAGGCGTTAACAGTGGACAGGAAAACCTTTCCCAGGGAATTTTCAGCATTATTTACTACAAAATGTGAAAAGGGTTGGATGCGCGTTCAAGGGGGAAACAGTGTAAAAAAGGGCAAAATTAAAAGCGAAAAGCTGTGCATTTTTTTTACGTCTGGCCTCTAATTGAATATCTATGCAAAAGAATTTCAACTTTTTGTGTACCTGGCAGAAGGGTTTTTTTACGAGGTAAATCTTTAAAGATGTAGAACTAATAAGCTGGAATAAAGTACTAATTTTATATAAGAATAAGAATAAGACAAATTTAAAACTTCGAATATCACATGATTCTATTTAGTTGATTGATAAGACTGCAACGAGCTTCGATTGACTCGCCTGAAAGCTGTAATATACAGACCAATTTATTTCTGTTGAATTCCTCAAAGGAAACTTTGAGCTCGGGCTTTGAAACGAGCGACACAAGGTTTCACTCAATGCTTTTAACTTTCAGCTCAAAGACAAATATTATTTTGCGCTTAGTAGATAGAAATCGCATTCTAGTTGAAGCTCATTCAATTATTCGAATGGACTCGTGTGAACAGTCAGTTTTTAATGTCTACATCACGGACTTCCAAAAATCGCTTCCGAAGAATCAGTTGGTATATTTGAATGGGAGTTTTAGCATTCAATAGCGGAAGATTAATTTTATATGTGGTTTGGTTTCAGGTCGATTCAAGGTGCTGATACCATTATAATGATTTTTTTTTATTTGAACTTTTTAGGCGATTTTTTATTTTTACATTAGTTGATTCTGAAATCTGTTTCTGGGCAACCAGTTTAGGTATCGGACTATGCGTTTGAACAGTAGACCAACGAAGCTCTGTTTTACATGTGGTTTGAATTTGGTTCCAGTTGAAAAGTATGGCTGCTTTCCCAAGAAATTTTTAAACGTTGCTGTTTTTTGCATAGTTTTCCAATGCTACATTATGCATTTCTGAAGCCGGTCTCTGAGTGACCAGTAAAAATGGCAGAGCTGTGGTTCCGATGCTCAATCACGGAAGCTGCGTTCTTCAAGTGGTTAGAGTTTTGAGTTATTGAGAACATTGGTAACATCATAATAAAAAAATCATCAGTCTGGACCGTTTTTTTATTTTTAAATTATCTTCTTTTACAGCCAGTTTCTGAACCACCATTTGAGAGATTCGAATGCAGGTTTTAAAAGACAAAAACGGCTGATTCATTTTACAGGTCGTTGTAATTTGATTCGATTTCAAACGGTGGAACCTTCAGAATCCATTGTTAAACTTTGTAGCTTTTTGCGCGGTTTTTCCGATTTTTATCATCCGCCTCTGAATTCGGGTTTTCAGCAACTGGTTCAAATTTCAGAATTGGGGTACCAGGATTCTATAACGGAACCTTTGCTTGATATGTAGTTTAAATTTGGTTGCAGTCAATCCGCTGGTACCGCCAGAAGCAATTTCTTAACTTTGAAGAAGTTTTGCGCGGTTTTTAATTTTTGGACCATCCGTTTCTGAAAAATCAGCTAAATGATCTAAGCGCATGTCTTAGCATTCAATACTGGACGCTTGGTTTTATTTGTGGATGAACTTTGGCGCTATGCAAAGCATTAGAATCTGCAGTATGAATTTCTTAACTTTGGAGTCATTTTGCGCGGTTTTTTATTTTCGCATGATTTTTTTTGTGGCCAGTTTCAGAGAAACCAGCCGCGGAATAAAAATGAGAATTTAAATATGCTATAAGAACGGATACGTTTTACATATGGTTGCAATTTGGTTCGATTCAAGTCACTCGTATCCTCAGAATAGATTTGTGAAGTTTGAAGTGTTTCTGTCTGGCTTTTCATTTTTGCGTCATGTTCACTTCGGAAGCGAGTTTCTGAGCGAGCGTTAGGAAGAACCACATGTGGGTACTGGTACTTAAGAACAGAAGCTTCATTTTTTCAGGCAGTATTAGTTTGGTTTCATTACCGATACTGGTACTTTCAGAATGAATTTTTGAACTTCGTAGTTTTTTTGCGCGATTTTCAATTTTTCAACATCCATTTCTGAAGCCTGTTTCCAAACTAATAGTTCAGGCATCGGAACGTAGTTTCACGCAGTTGATAATGAAAGCTTCATTTGACACGCGGTTTGAATTTGTTTCGATTTTAGGCTCTGCTACTAACAGAATACATTTTTGAATCTTGGAGTGTTTTTGCACTGATTTTCATTTTGGCATCATTTCCTTATGACGCGAGTTTCTGAGAAACGAGTTGAGAAATCACAATGCAGGTTTCAGTACGTAATACGAGAAGCCTTAGTTTAGAGAAAGTTTCAATTTGGGGCCAAGACTCTGGTACTTTCAGAATAATGATTTAAACTTAAAGCGTTTTGCCGCTGTTTTCCCTTTCAACATCATGCACTTCTGAAGCCGGTTTCTGAGTCACCAGTTAAGATATCGGAATGATGTCCACCATCCTCAATAACGAAGGCTTCATGTTGGACGTGGTTTGAATTTTGTTCCATTCAAGAAATTGTTATAATCGTAATGATTTTTTTTCGATTGAGCACCGAAAACGTATACACTTTTACAATTTTTATCACATTGAAGAGAATTACCCAATCACGTTAGAGGTGAAAATCCTGGCGACGTCATTTAACTACTTCCCATTTAACTTTAAGTACATACAAGTAGAGTAATTCCGGGAGAGATGAACCACCTTTTTTGATTCGACTCTATCTTCACAAAAAATAGCTTTATTGACGTAAAAAAAATGTTGTCACGAACATTTTAACTAACTGCAATCAGAACTGTAACTAAAGACCAAAAACTCGGACACATTTGCTGACAAAAAAATAAAATAAAAAACCGTTATGTGGTCCAACTAACTCGAAATCTGCGGGATAGTTGAACCACCAATTTGGAACAGTTGGACCACACAGGGAGATATGAACCGTAACAAAGGATAAGGAACAAAATTAAACTTAATTAATTTTTTTTTATTTTTTAATAAAATAATAAGTTTTTTTGTGGCATTCATTCCACATATATAAGTTTGTACACGACTCAAGAAGCCACCGGGTACACGACTCATGAAACACCTTCAGCAACTCTTAATCTGAATGCCGGCTTAGGAAAAGATGTAGCGAGTCGTATTCTGCCATTTTTGTGATTGCGTTAAAACGAGGCTTCAACGGTAACTGTTCAGCAACAGCAAACATCATATGTCGCATATCATTCCGTGTTGGGGCAAAACCAAATTTTTGCAGCTTTTTTACATGTGCT